CATTTTTCCCCCCAAAGCCCCAGTAGATAGTTGTATGTTGTAGGTTCACATCCTTCTAGTTGCCGTACGCGGGACCCGGCCCCGGGCTGGACGGAGAAGTGGTGCCTCGGGGCGCGCCCGGGATCCGAACCCGGGCCGCCAGCATCAGAGCGCGCGCACTTAACCACTAAGCCACGGAGCCGGCCCCAAAATTTTAGAATGTCTTGAACATTCTAGTTCCAACCCTTCTAACAACAAATAAGCTTCAATGGGAGTTAGATTTCAGTGATAATGATCACCTGCATACCTTTGGGCTGCAAAGTTAAACTTATGTTCAGATAAAATATTGACTAAAATTAAAAAAAGAAGAAAACGGGCAGTTCTTAGAAAGGTGAAGGCTTGAAGGTGAGTGGGTAGCATAGGGGTGCTGAGGGAACTGGGCAATGATAGGAGAGTCTGGGGTCACCCAACCTGCCCCGGCCCCCTGGCCACTTGGGAATGAGGTCTCCAGGCAGAGAAGGCTAGGCCTGACCCCATGAAGTTGTCCTCTGAGGCCCCTGGAGCCAGGACCAGGACAAAGCTGGGGGGCCCTTGGAGACCTGGAGGCCAGCTCTTCATGGTACAGATGGAACTCTGAGGCCCAAAGAGGGATGAGGGGTTCCCGTAGAGTCTCGGCCCACCCACCCCAGGCTGACCCCCGCTCCTCTCTCTGCTCTTCCCCCAGGTGGCTGTATGAGGGCCTGAGCCGGGAGAAAGCTGAAGAACTGCTGCTGCTGCCTGGAAACCGTGGAGGGGCCTTCCTCATCCGGGAGAGCCAGACCAGGAGAGGTGGGTAAGCTCAGCCCCGCCCCGGGCCCGTCCTTGAGTACCAAGAGCCAAGTGTGCTGTGACTTAGGCACAGAGGTAGGAGGCCAATTGCAAAGGGCTAGAGTGCCTGGCCTGGGAGTTGGACAGTCTGGCTGACTGAGTGCCGTGTTGCTGCCATGAGAGCCCATCAGCAATGGAGCAATAACCTGCATTTCTAAAAAGGGGTGTGAATGGCCCATAGTAGGGATCCGGGCTCAGCCAACACTTTGGCAACTGGGACTTGTAATAGAGTACAGTCACAGGTTTTCCCTGCCCTGACCAGTAATGATTCCTCTCTCCCCAAGACACAACACGATCCTGATCTCTTGGCAAAAAGTCGACAAGTTGACAAGGTCTCTGTGCTTTGGGTCACCAGGCAGTCAGAGCCAGAAAATCTATTAGAAGTCGCCTCATGACCTCCCTCTTTCCACTGTACAGATGGGGAAACAGAGGCCTGGAGAGGAGTAGGGGCCTGTCACATTGCACGTCCATATGGTACTTCTCCTACCCCGGGTGCAGGACCTTTGCAAACAAAACAGGAAGTTGATAAATGCTATCTCTGATGCCCCTGCCTCCCTCTGAGCTGCTGCCCTGAGTCCCTTACAGCAGGGGCAGAGAGGGATGTTGAAGGAGTGGCAGTGCCCCCGTTTATGTTAGGTCTTTTAAGTGTCTTCAAACAACCTGTAGGGACCGTACTTCCATTGTCCCCATTTTACAGATGAGGAAACTGAGTCTTAGAGCAGAGAAACAACTTGCCTGGGAGGACACAGCTAGTAAGTGCAGAACTCGATTCAAACCCAGCTGAGGTGCATCTAACTTCAGACACCTAAGAAAGGCCCACGTGTGACAATAACGGTGGAATTGCAAGCACAGTGCTGGACGAGGGAGGAGATATTCAGGAATGAGGACCGGCCTCCTGTACTTGCCCTAACTGGAACCAACTGTGATGGGTTGTCAGGTCCTTTGCATTCTACTCAGTCTCCCTCTGGGCCCCCTCCAGCGAATCTTTGCCTCTCCTCCCCTTCCCTCTGGAGCTCCCTGGGTTGACCTCTCTGCAGCTCCCCTTGCTGTTTTCCAGGCAGCATCAGCATCCCACCCTCACACACACCCATAGGCTGGCTGGGGTGGGGGGCTGGCCCGAGCATGCAGCTGTGAGCAGGAAACCGCAGTGGTGGTGCTGATAGGGGCAGGGGTGCTGCAGACCGGGCCCCAGTGAGCTTGAGAAGCCACAGGAAGTGCTTCGTGCTCAGCTGCCCTACCCCCACCCCTCTCTGGCCTGGTTCAGCCCCAAGAGCTCAGTGACCGGCACTTATTGCCGCTCTGCCCCTTTCCTAAGAAGGCACATATACAAGAGGAGCCAGCTGAGAAATAAAAGAGAAAGCAGATAAGGATCCATAAGGACCCACATAGTTACTGGGGTTAAGGTTAGATTTGACTCTGAGCTTCCCCACAGCCAACACCAAAAGGGGAGAGATCAGAATGCAGCTCTCATTATCAAAAAAGGAAGAGATTTGCCGATTCTGCAGGAAAGGCAATGACCTCCCCGGTACTAATTTCTAATCTCTCATCTGGGGCTTCTTTTTGTACAGTGTTTGTCAAACTGCTGGTCATGACCCATTCGTGGGCTAAGAAATCAGTTTAGTTCAGTGGTTAGAGACTGGTGGGTCTCAAACCTGGGTGGGCATCGGAATCAGCTGGAGGGCTTGTTAAAACAGAGCTGGTCCCACGCCTGCTGGCATTTCTGATTTGGCAGGTCTGGGGCAGGGCCTGAGGCTGTGCCTTTCCAACCCAGTCGCAGGTGCAGCTGCAGCTGGCCTGGGGACCACACTTGAAGAACCGCTGATCTAGCCCTTGGCTGCATTTGGAATCATCTGGGGGAGCTTTACAAATTACTGATGCCTGCACCTCACCCCTAGAGTTTCTGATTTAATTGGTCAGCGGTGTGACCTCGGCCCTGGAAGCTATAAAAGCCCCCCAGGTGACTCTGATTTGCAGCTAAGGTCCAGGTGGATCTGGACCAGTGAGTGAAGTGAAAGAGAGCCAGGAGACATCAGGGTACATCACTGGGAGTTGGGGAAATATGGCTGCATCAAACTTTTGTTTTAGTAATTTTGAGTTTGTCCTGGGTCACAGTCTAAAATTTCATACTGTGGTTTGTGGTCAGAAAAAGTTTGACACCACAGCTCTAGGGGCCCAAGTGACGTCATAGAACGGTGGTTCTCAGACCTGAGTACACAGGAGTTATCAGGGGAACTTCTGACAATGCGGACTCTTGGGCCCCCCTGCAGACCTACTGAATCAGACTGTTGAGAGCAGAGGTCAGAAAGCTGCTTCCTTCACGAGTTCTCCAGGTGGTTCTTAACGTTCTTTTAAGTTTGAAAACACAGTTCCAATCTAGGGAACCCAGAATTAAGTAGTAAGAGACAATGTGTTTTCCGTTTACGTGATGAATTTGCCGTATTAACTGTGGACCGAGGGAGTGATATCAGGATCAGCTTTTCTTTGGCCTGAGGTCCAGACAGACCTCTGAGAAGGAAATTCTGCAGAGACTTTGAGCCTGTGTGTGGACCAAGGAGGCAGGCCTGGGGCCCATGAGCTCCCAAGAACACTGCTCAGATCTGGAGGGGGAAGGGTAAGGCTCCCCCATCTTCCCCAGAGTCCCTCTGGCCTACCTGGTTGTGTTCTAGGCCTTGGGGGAGCCTGGTATGGCCCAAGTCAGGCCAAAAACTTTGGACTGTGAAGGGGCACTGAAGACTTGGTGGAGGTCACAGGACTGCTCCAGAGGTCAGCGCCAGGGCTGGTCCCCAACAGCACCACTCCCTGGCCTTCCTGCTGTCCTGCTATGTGTCTGTTCTGTGTTGGTCACTGTAAGGGAGATTGATGAGTGAGACATGCTTCCTGCCACTGAGGGGCTCACCCCTGTCCATTCTGTCAGTTGGGAAACACTTATTGAGCATCTCCTCCGAGTCAGGCCTGCTAAGTCTTGGTTCCTGTCCTCAGGCTGCAGACAGTGGAAGGTCCCAGGTGCAGCATCCCTGAGGCTCTCAGCTTCTCAGAGAGCTCAGCAGAGAAAGTTCAAGAGGGTCCTGCTAGGTCCACCTCCCACACAGAGCTCCTAATCTGATCCTTCACACCACTGTGGAGCCCACCCTTCCTCTTGGCATCATCCTCAGAACACCTGGGAAAACGTGGTGCCTGACTCCAGAGGTCCGTGCATGCCAGGATGTGACATTGGCTAAGTCTGGTGGAGCTTTCCGGAACCCGAGACCTTGTACCTTCCTTGCCTTTTTCCCAGTAGGTCTCCCTCCAGGCCCTGCACCCAGCCACGGCTCCCAACATTCCTTCCCACATCCTGCCTTCTGGCCCACTGCCCACCAGAATGCTCCATGAATGAATACCTTGTTCTTTCCACCGTGGCATCCTTGCACATAATCCTCCCTCAGCCTGGAAAGCCCGCTCCTCCATTCCGCCACTTGGCAAACTCACACTCATCCTTTGCGACCCATTTCAATGTCGTTTCCCCAGGCTGTTTGTCACTCTTTGCTCTCAACTCCCATTGCATCTTGAAAAGACCTCTTCTGTAGCTGCAGTAAACTTATTTCTTAAAATCAGGGTATGTGGTCTAAGGGCACGGGAAGTAAATAATTGAAGACCATAAAAGAAAGTTCTGGCTGTGTGATGTGCCGATGGGACGGCACCTCTTTCCCCAAAGTGTGAAGATCTGATCACCTGTCTCTGGGCTTGGCGCAGCACCGGCATGTAGGAAGTGCTCAATGGATGTTTACTGAATAAATGAGTGAGTGAATGAGTGCCTGAGGGGAGGGGAGAGGACTAAGTGCTGGGGGTGGGGGGTAGACTGCTCCCCAACACCATCTGTGCTCACAGACAGCGGTAGAAGTGCAAATGGTGACAAGGACTCCTCAAAACTGCTTGTAATCACGGCTCTGTCCAGTGTTTATCACGGAGATTCATTCATTCACTCAACAAATAGATATTGCATGACGACTCTGCCAGCCACTGTTTTCAGTGCTGGAGATTCAACAGTATAAAAAGTAAAATCCCTGCCCACAATCTAGTTGGCAGGTAGACAGTGAACAAGTAAATAATAAAGTGTCCGATCATGGTAAGTGCCGAAAGAAACAACAAAGAAGCCTAAGAGGAACAGAGTTGATGGGATGCATGTGCGGGTGCAAAGGCCTCAGGGTAGGTGCGTCCTCGGCAGGAGGCAGGTGTGCCTGGAGCAGACCCGAGGTCTTCGGGAGCTATGCTGGGCCTTTCCAGGGTGAGGATTTATCTTAAGTGTGACAGGGAGGGTTCTGATATGAGTGCCATGGCCTGCTCCCTTGACTGCTGTGAAGATGGGATTTAGCAGGGGGTAAGGCGGAAGTGGGAAGCCACATGGGAAGTAGTTACAGGCTCCGTCTGGGTGAGAAGGGGTTGGATTCTGGACGTGTTCTGTATGTAGCCAGTAGGGCTTTCTGTCGTGCTGGATGTGAGGTGTGAGACAATGGAAGCAGTCAGGCATGACACCAGGTAGGAGTTTAATAATGGATGGATAGTGCTGCTATTTTCTGAGATGGAAAGATGGTGGGAGGACAAATCAGACCCATCCCTCAGGAGGTTCACGGTTGGCTGTGTTTGTGTGGGGGGGTGAGGGGTAGGGTTGAGGGACAGACGATAGCAGAGGAGGACCCTTGGTGCCACAGAAGCACTCATGCCTGGGCAAGCCTAGAGCTGGGGGTTCTCCCAGGCAGGGAAGGTGTTCTGGAGAGGAGTTGTCTGAGCAAAACTGAGTTGTAAAAGGAAGGCTGGGGGTTATCAGATAGAAGGGTGTTCCATATAAAAGGAACAGCATGAGCAAAGGACCTGAGGCCTGATAAGTGTTGTTGGGTGCTTGTTACACGCCAGACACTTCTAAATGCTTTGCCTGCTTCACCACCTGAGTCCTCGCGGTGATCTGTTGAGACTGGGACAGTTTTATC